AGTGAGTTTGTGTGTCTCGGTGCTTGTCCTGGGCAGGAGTCACGGGGTGTCTGTCTACGTGCTGTTTGAAGTGCGTAAGTGTAGTCACTGGTGTTTTGTGTGTGCACCCCTCTGGTGTTAGAAAGCACAATAGCACACCCCAACATTTTAAAAATGAAGGAGGATTTCCCCAGTTCATCTGGCTTCTGATCAGTGAAAACTACCTTTTTATAAATGTGAAACATACCAGTTTTGCTTCAGAAAGCTGTTGTATGTTTTGGTCTAGCTGTCAGAAACGGGACTCTAGTTTTGTCCCAAATAGATCTTCAGAATCCCTTAATTGCTATTTATTCAAAATGCTGTTTTATTCTTTTTCATGGTCTTGTATTAACTAAAACCTCGGGAGGTGAATTTTCAGACAGTCCCTGAGCAGATTGCTCAGACCAGGCCCAACCAGTTTTACCCCACAGCGCAGACAGCGAACAAACACCTTCCATCCCACACCTAATCTGTATCTCTGGTATTTGTTCATGTTGTCCTGAAGTGAAGGGATCAACAACCTTGGTCCAATGATTGGGTCAGTTACAGGCCAAAGATAAACACACCAAAATCTACCCTACTTTACCCCCAAGGCTGCTTACACAAACTTGCAAATACGTCTTTTGTTGGTTTTTGGGTTGCTAAGTGTGGTGACACTGGTATCTTATGCAGGAACCCCATGCAGAGAGCTAAAGCTAGACCAGCTTATGACTGAAGAATTGCAGCATGCTTCTCTGGTCCATATCATGGCTTTGAGGAGCCTTCAACTCACTTTCAGGGTATCTGTTTTCACAGATCTTTCAAAGAAGACTTCACATAGTACTTGGTTCTGGTCTGCCAAAGTTCTTCTTGCTTGGTTGAAGATCGTTCTATTGGGAGGGCAGCTTTGAGACACATCCCTGGCTATATGGCTCTGTTTGGTCCTTGCAGCTTCTCTCGTATTGGAATATTCTAGAAACCAAAAGGTCTGTTGTGACACTGCAGGACAGCTTACCATGCTTAATCATACCTTTCTGCTGAACGACGCCGTAGATAGTATAACCTGGATTTGAAAGATGTTACATTGGTTTTTAAGTTTTGTGTTATGGAGGTCTTGAACACACCAGTGGGGTGTAAATTTAGAATGTATTTTTTAAAAACATCCTGACATGCACCATATCATAAAAAGATCACTCACTGTGCAAATACCATGTCTTATTTTTTTTTGTCAGAATATCAGAAAACTGTTTACATTAGAAAACTAATATATATCTATATATATGACATTGTGAATGATTTCATTTTGAACTGTCTCTATGTCTTATTGAATAACTAAATGAAGGCACGTTTAATAATTTGACATTCTTTGTTGTGGTAGAAAATGCACTGATATTACAGTATGTAATGTGTACAGTATTTTACAGAAGTCATGTTGTATTGAAGAATGTTGTACTTAATATTCTGTCTATAATCTTGAGAAAGAAATAATAAAATGACTTATTTATGAGTGAGTCTGGCAGTTTTTCTGAGTATACCAAGAACACTCATATTTGGTGTGTTCTACCTGTGACAGTAAAGTTTATTGTTCCAACATGATATATATTGTGAATATTTCCGTTCCAGCCCTGCCCAAGTATTACATCATTACACCTGGGTTTTTTTCCAAAAAAAGAGATTGGTAGAGACTGGCAAACGGTGTACTGAAAAGAGTCACTTCCTGCTTTCTGCCCGCCAACGATGACGAGCTGGGGCAATCAGGACTTCAAGCAGGTGGCTGTGCTTGGTCTACTGTGAGGTGACGGACCCTTGGAAAGCGGAGGCAGACACATGGCGTGTGCCTCGTTTTGTCATTACTCAAGATTGAGTTAATCTGTGGTGACTCATTTACACTCCCAAACTGACACTGCTGTTCCACTTTGAAATTGTGCCCTCATTAGTCCACCGACTTGTTTGGCAGTGTTTGCGAACATAAATCACAAACATTATTATTTTTATCTGCCACATAAAACCAACCAGTTGGATTTTACTTTCTGGACCTGAACTATTCACCTCTGCACATGGACATCTGTTGCTTTAATACTATGCATCGCTGCCACGTCAAAATAATTCTGTGATTAAATCCACTGCCAGGTGGATCACCCATGAGTAAAATAAATCAATAAAAAACAGATAACGTTTAATGTCTTGCTTTCAAATTTAGAAGAGAACTGGTATGATAATACTGGCACCAAATCCTAGACAAAGCACGAGTAACCTAAAATCAGGACTAGGAAGTCTCTCTAAGTATTTAACTCATCACAACTGAGCCTAATATCACTTTTAAAAAACCCACACTTTAGAGTCAAACTCTCAAACTAAATTTGTGTAACTTTTAGATACCTATTGCCCTTGTATTGCAAACATAGACCATCCTTGCTTACATTTCTGTTTCTGGGCATTACTCAGAGGTGGGGTGACACTAACCTGATTGGAGAAAAAGAATTTCACCTCGGACATGTTTGCTCCTAAACAATAAAACGCCTCTGAGGGCTGGTTGTTTGCTTAAATGAGGCAACAGCCAGTGTTACTGACCCAAGGAATTTACTGAATAAGCTATATTTGGATTTAACTTTGTCTCCTATGCCTGTACTCCATCTTGTACAGTCAGTGTTTACATAGTATATTCCAGATGTTGGGTATTGTTAAAAACCACAAATTGTCCCCAATGTCTGTGATTGCTACACAGTCTCAGACATTTCTCAGCTGCCAAGCCAGTGACCCTAATCCAAATGTGAATAATCACACGGCACATTAAGTGCTCATGCAACACATGTCTTACACTTTGCCGAGAATCACTTTAAAGTAGCTAAAGTGAAGCGCCTCACTTAAATCTACAGCGAGATGTGTCCGAAATGGAATTCCACCTACTGTACAAACCAGGGATTCTAACCTATAACCGCTTTTTGAGTTTCGTAGACATATAGGTCATATAGATGTAATATAGACATGTAGGTCACACAGTAGCCCATGAACCATGTAATAGGGTGTGGTGACACGTAGAAATGAAAAAAGAACTATTTGCATGCAATGATTAATAATAAACACCCCAAAGCACGTGAGAAATTAAAGTGGTCATTTTATCTACAGGAAGGACATAGCGCTTGATGTAACTCGCTACGGTGCTGACTCAGTTTTAAAAAGCATTGATTCTTCTCTTGCCTTTTCCTGAGAACAACCCCCAGGCAATCTCCTTGCTCCACATTAACCATGGCCAAACTGGCCCCGGCCTCTCTCAGGTGAACGACTGAGCGTGACAACCCAGGAAGAGTGCGTGGGCTGTGGCCATGACAACGGTGACAAGGGGCCGTCCTGCTACTCACGTCTCTTAGGGGACTGATCCAAAAAAAGGAAATAAAAACAAATAAGGCTGATGTAGCCTGGAGTGCTGTTTTGAGATTCTGTTGTGCATGAGAAGGTAGCAGACAGTTTATCTTTTCACGTAATTTCTGGTCTACGTATAATTTTACAAAATATCACTCGATTTTTGAAAGGAGGAACAGTGTAATGCATTTCCCCAGGTCCCAGTTTTGACCATCTTCCTTTGCTTGGAGTAACCAGGTGATGTTTTTTCTCAACCAAATAATCACTTTAGTTAATCAGCTGGTACACCATGGAAACCCAAAGAGATCCTTCCGGCCTCTTAGGACTGGATTCCCCAGCATTGTCCTGACTTTGTGTCACACGGTTTTTGAGTCATTTGCACAATACTGTAAATACTCCCCCAAAAGCCCCAAAATTATTCTCTCAGGTGCCGCTGGTTTCCCTGAAACTGACCCAGTCTGTCAGTTCACCTGCTTTGTAAGACCTTATTGTTGGGTCAAGCATTTACAGCAAAAGGCTCAGAGGTCGTCATGGTATAAAAAGATTTCTGAGGCTTCCATCGGAGCACAGTCAAGTGGACCCTTATGCAGTGGAAAATATAAGGTACCACCCAGAACCTGCTGAAGTATTTCCATAATCCCAAAACTGAATGACCGAGCAAGAAACTCAATGGTCATTGAAGTTGCCAAGAAACCAATGAAAACTGTGTCAGACTGCGCCAGACAGAGTTCTATGGCTGAAATAACTATTATTACTCAAAAAGTGGAATGGGCTGTGTAGATCAAAGGTGAAAGGGAAGACAAACATTTTAAGGCTGCTGTTTCACGTCTCAGGGGAATGTGCCTTCTGCTGCTGCAAGCTTGAGAAATATTGTTAAACAGGATTGCTGTAGCACAGTGTTTCCCAAACCATTTCTCAGGGACCCCAATTTTTTGTTCCCGCCAAGCTCCCTGCCAGACGGTCCACATTTTATGGGACAGATAAAAACATCAGATAATACATATATCACAACAATCTATGTCCAAGCTAAAATACATGTGTACCTTCTAAGTGACATGGTATGTATGCATATATGCATATATGTATGATGATTATTATTATTATTATTATTGCCTGCTGATTGCAACAGACTGATTAGAATTCATAACAAGGAACAAGCAAATGGAGATTTATTTCTATTTTCATAGAAAGTTCCGTAAAAGAGCCATGGATTTGAGTGTCCTCTTTACCGTTTTGAATGAAAACATAATTTCCGATCGTTTCGACATGCAAGTAGTGGGCGCCATCAGGCGGCAGAAGCTCAAAACTACACCATGCGTACTCGTGTAATTCATTTGCGCTGTTCTTATAAACGTTTTCAAAAGCTTGCAGAACTGTGCGTTTCAATATACCTTATTAAATACACTGCAAAATACATTCAAATTCATAAAATGCATGTTTCACCATTTTAAAGAATATGTTCTCGCATTTAAATCTCTTTGTGCAGTATAATGCGGCTGAGCATCCGATGAAAAGTCTGGTTGTGGGAAATGAAGACGAAAGACAGTAACGTCTTTAAACATCAATTTATGTAACACAAGTTAAAACACTTGCAAATGTATAAAAAAAATGCACGTTTTATAAACTTCATGCATAATAACATTTCCGCGTGTAGAAAACAGTTCATTACTTGCGTTTTTAATTAAGATCTTATACATAGGCCTACATATATCTTTTAAACCACTTACTGAGTACTGAATCATGGAAACCTTACATTGTAAATACTATAGAAATTAATATGCGTGTACTCTGCCTGATTTTCCCCCAAGTCACATTAAAATCATACTCAGGCATCGAGGAATCAGGTATAGTCTTGGTGGAACCGGAAAGACTCCTCTTTCACTGATGACTGTCTTCTTACACCAAATTTGCTGGTATCCCTAAATGCAATAACAAATATTTAGTGCGATTAAACAACTATCTTCCCATTGCATTACTGTTCTCTACGCTCTGCTGGACCCACCAGAATCTTGTCTTTCTCTTCCTGTTCCAATAAATCCCAATGACCATGCCAATAACGAGTAGTAAAAACAATCCGGATGCAAGTACCCCGAAGAGCACGCCGTAAAACTGTGCAGTCCGCTGGTAAAACTGGCATTGCGCCCCATAGTATTGACCCAGCTGTGGTTCAAAGCACCTATGGCAGGAAACATGGGAGTGGATTTTATCACGGAATTATTTTGACATGCAACTTTTGAATCAGGGCAGAAGAGACATTGTGCACATGCTTATTGAGGACTTCCGCACCCTTTTAAGTGCATCACTAATACATATGATCTGGCCTCATGTTGCATAAATGTAGCATGTTTTTATGCCGAATTTTTTTTTAAACTTTTGAAAATTTAATGTTCTCGTGATGCTTCATTCATGGTGTACTTAAATATTAGTTTTACAAATTAATGCATTAAGAACGTATAAACAAAATGAATCTGATGAACAGTTATTTCAATTATATGATTAGTTTAGTGAAAAAAAGCATTCTAATCAGCTATAGAAAACAAGGTGTCCTTACTTGCAAATTGGCCCGGTCTTGGCGTTGGAGCACTCCCCCTGGTGGTGGCAGTAATCAGGGCTGTTGACACAAGGGCTAACACATTGCCAGCTTCCGTCAATGATCTCTGGTGTGTAATTGGCAAATCCCACATCACAGCTAACGAAGGGCTTTAAGTCCTTTATACCTAAATAGGAAAAAAAGCCAACCAGGTCATCTTTAACATTAGCTTGAAGTAACAGACACACTATTCTTGTTAAGCAGTGGTCTCATGTCATTCAACATTTATGGTCATCTGTTCTTCCAGAAAGTCTTTCTAATACAAAATTAAGGTATTTCTTTGTGGGAATTAAAATTATATACAGACCACTGACAACGTACTCAGTATCACTGGAGGTTGAGGGTAGATGTTGATCACGTTAGCAGGAACTCCCCCGAGGGCTTGACTCAGATTTTTAAAGCTGTCTGTGTTGTTAAAAATAGCCTCGAGTGTGGACACTAGGTCATTGTTCAGGAAGTTAATTTGTGACTGATTGTTGGGGTAGCTATATTGGGCAACAGTTTCTGCAATGATACTTCCATTCCTGTGAAGGAAATTATATTAATTGTAAATACAAAGAAAAACACATATCCTTGGTTAACAGGTTGTATCAATGAAACTAACCTCAAGTCAATGATTTTCACATCCATGAAATTTTCAGGGCTGGCCCCTTTACAGAGAAATTCCAGCTGCCAAAACAAATTATGTATGGTTAGAAAAGATTTAGTCACACTTTACATGAAGTACACCTGCATAATGCATTTAACATGCGTTTATAGAACATTAATTGCACCTTCATAATGCATTTGTAATGCATTCATGGAATGTTAATAAGCTGCATGTAAATATTTCATAAAGGTATACTTACATAGTGCTTATTAATGTTCTATGAATGCAACGTAAATGCATTATGCAGGTGCACTTCATGTAAATTGTTACAAAGATTCTTAACTAAATGGGTGAATTGCTATTTTTCAGTTGTTGACATATTTCACAGTGACGGAAAGCTTTTTAGATTTGTATTAGTCACATTTTCAAACAATCCAATTAATATTTCATACCTCATGAATTATTATGTTGATAAACTTCTGTGATTCGGTGGACGTCAGGCTTTTAAAAGATAGATCGAAATTCTTCATAATTCTCAAAGAGATGTTGAGTTTTCTAGTGGGTGTTACATCTGTAATTATTAACAGAAAAAATGCTGAACCAATGCATTTAAAATATCATGGCAACGTTTATAAAAAATTTAACATCTTCCATAAGACAATAATTGTCATCTAGGCAACATTCCGTAGTCATTGAACTAACTGGAGATCTTTCAGATATCAAGCTATCACAGCGGTATTCTGAAAAATCAATTTGAAATTAATTTGAAAAAGGACTAATGAAAAGGAAGCTCTTACCAATGATGACTGGAATATTGTTTCCCCCAAACTCACAGCTATTTCCAAAAGTGGAATTGTTGCATTGACACTTGCAGTCATTTGAAGTGACATTGAAAAAACAGGGAGCCCCGTTACACCTACAGTCCTCTGCAGTGCAATTTACTGTAGTACTCTGAGTTGAGGAAAAATGTGTAGAAATTGTTGATGAATGGCTGATGGGGGACACACCTTTCTGGTTTGTCGTTAAAACATGAGCTGCTGTAGTTTGGCTGGATAATGTTAAATGGTGCACTTCTGTAGTATACATTTTGGTGGATAGGATTGCATTTGAAGAAATGGTAACACCAGATGATGATGAAGTTAAATTTCTGAATGATGTTGATGTGGGAATCTGTGACATGGAAGATAAATCTTTCGTTACACTTGATATAGAAGCTGCTGTGCTTTGCATTGAGGTATACATTTTGTCTGTTACTGTAGTTATATTTGAGGGTAAATCTGTTGATCCTTCTGGTGTACTCATAGCATTATTTGTCAAAGTTGATTCTGTGTTTGCACC